AATGGCAAACTCCACCTCTAGACTCCTGAGCTCCTTCCACCATGTGATCATATACCTCGTATTAGGTTGCTGCATAAGTTCTGTCCGATTTGAATTTTTGTGTTCAAAACGTCATAACCTTTCAGAGTCAGCTTTTTTCCAAGGGCTTACTTTCCATGTGTTGAGCAGTTCCTTGGCTATGAAACACATATCAAGATCTGCGCAAATCTTTGTTAAGGAAGAAGCAAGAATGCAAAACCTTCACAGCGTTTTTCTTCAAACCTCTTTTTTGACATGGCAACGCTCCCTTATGAGAATTGATAAACATCTTATCCAACAACCAGTGCGTCACCTCTGCTTCGCAGGGGCTCGCACTGGTCTACTATCTATGTGCCTTACTCATTCTCGTAAAATCGTGGCACTGGAACTCACCGCGCTATGCCGACTACCACCAATAAAATGTAAACAACCACTCATTTAGAAAGCTTTTTCACGTGAGATCGGTGATTTCGCGTGGATGAAACTTTTCGCAGGAAGACCAATGCAAAATTGAATAGGTTTTTGGATTTGTCATGGCATGGTAGTCGCCATAGAGGTAATAGTAGCCGTGAGCTACATCTCTGTGCGAAAATCTTCTCAAACGCTTAGCTAGAACCTTAGCAAATTGACCATTTACACAACCAATTCTTCTTGGCGCCGTTTTCGTTATGTAGTAAACTTTCGACCATTTTTCGGGCTAAGCTCCATCGCTTGTACATTTGCTTACCAAACTCATCCACGACTCTGCAAAAAATGGTGATACGGACCGAATTTTGCGGTGCAGCAGCCAGGTGGACCCGTTTGGCGCGCAATTTCTGAGGGATCCACTCATCGAATTTACTCATGCTTTTGCATGTTGGACTTTCATGCGGATAGCATGCGCTATACAAAATTTCGGCTTAGAACGCTGGCGGAAACACGCTCCACGAATTTCGTAACAGACACACACATACACACAGACACACAAAGTCACGTAAACATCCTTAGCCCGTTATTATAAGTTATGATGGATAGATAGAGAAATTTGTAGAGAGATTTGCGTAGATTATTATGCTACATAAAAGAGCCCAAAGGGTCTGCGCTGCCGAGAGATTTTTTGACCGAGCAAAAAAGAAGCCACTTTTTGATCTCGCTTCAGCACATGTGTGCATGCCTATTTACGAATTATGAAAATTTTACAACTGAGGTGAGCGCCGAAAAGGAACTGGTGGACAGGCCCTGCTAGCTCTTGCTTTGCCCTAGCACCTCCAATTTTGAGCTTATCGATTACTTCTATTCGCAGAAAGTTATAGCTTCTAAAACATTTATACAAAAAATTAATGTTCGACGATAAATTTTACTAGCAAGACGTTTTCTTCATAGAACCGAACTTCTTCATTTACTAGCCTTCTACACCCTTATCCCGCAACCAAATAAAGAACTTGACTTGAAGAGCGCACTGTGGAGATTTCCTCGCAAGAACATATTTCTACGGTGAAAACGTAACTTGGTCACTTGGAGTAAGCCTAAAATCTCCGTACGCTAAGAAATTTATTGAAATCTGATATGCGTTAGAAAGAGCAAGGAAAGCACGTTCTAACGATACTAACAATACTGCATTAGGGATGAAATTTTCTTAGAACAGCTGCTTCAAATATAAGGCAAAAAATCGGACAGAACTTATGCAGCAACAACTTAAGCTGATACATACGGAAGTACAATCATGTATTTAGATTTCTTGTAGGTGCCCCAGTTCTCGAGAAATGCATGTTTAGGGTAAAAACGGTGAAAAATTACGAGACACCCTGGTAATTCTTTTCCATTAGTATCCAATTTCCACCGAACTTGGTCCGAATTTGAGTCACCAGCAGGGTCGAGCAAGAGGTGTGGGACACAAGCGGCGGATACGACTCCTCTGTCTTTCTTAATACCCCCCCCCCCTCCACCTTCTGCTCAATACCCCCCCCCCCCCCTCCCCAGCATTATCGCTTGCCTTCCGTAGGACGCGTGACATAAAGGCTCTACCATGCATAGTTAGGCACATATTCGTGATTATCATGTCAAATAACCACCATGGGCCAAGTTTTAGCAAATTCCGAGGGTTTACAATATTGGACCTTCCAAGTGAAGTGATCATCATTTTCAAACAAAATTAACTATGTTTCAAAATGAACTAGTTAACTCGTTTTGTACTCAATACAAAGAACCACTCCCTATTTACCCATACCATGAATACTGCTTCAAATAACCATCAAACTATGGAATAAGAAGCAGGCCAAAATCTCGTTTGTCCCATTTTTTGCTTCCAGTGGCTGCGCTTTCATCAACTTTTACTCAGAGCGAAGAAGATGAATCAGGCCCAAATCACTCCCATGAAAACTACAAGACTCAGGCTATCAAACTACATATACTTTGTTCGCAAAAATTCTTGGAGGCAACTTAATGGGTGTGGCACAACCCCTAGAAAGCTGTGGCAGCCACACCCATTAACTTACCTTCAAAACATTCAAATCTCTGTCTTATTTAAAGCTGACGAAGCGCACAAGCAGCATTGATTGAGCGGGCGCGAACGTTGCGCGCGCATATCTTCACCATTGTGAATCCTGCGCCTCATGCGCTCTGCAGCTAATGAAACCGCGTTCGCGCCCAGAGATATTGCGCCTTGTCATGTAGCAGGCTTTATATGGTTGCTACTGCTAAACCTTCTTATCCACATAGCAGGAGTTTCATTCAAAATTGTTTCTGCTAGGGAGATATAGTCGTTTTTCCTTAGCTAAGCAAATGGAAAACACTGCGAAAGTATTGGATTACGGTAATATGCTACGCCTGCGCTACTAAGTAAATACGGAAGGCGGCAAGAACAAGTATATTCAACAGCCTGGTACTCGCACTTTCACAAAAGTGATTTGAGCCTGATTGGTCTTCTCTAGTCTAGGGAATTGAAAACGAAAAATGGGACAAACGAGATTTTGGCTTGCTCAGATCCCAGAGTTTGAAGTTAGTTGAAGTGAGATTTCTAATGCGACAAAGAAGTAGTGATACTCAAAAAAATGAATGCAAAAACACGCAGTTTACTCACTTTTGGAACAAAGTTAGCATGCTCGAAAATGACCACCTCACGTCCCAATATTTGCAACCTCAAGATTCGCTGACTGGTCCACAGGGGTTATTTGGCATGCTTATCACGAAAATGATGCTCTTATGCTTTCAGGATTTTTTTATGCTTACGGTGCGCATACAGTGGTGGACATATCATAAAGCCACTCTGAAAATAGGCGTAATTTGCGTTCTTGTCAATGAATCTGTCTGAAACTTTGCTGTATTGTGCGCGTGTCAACCTGCCATGACTCTTCAAAACGACTTCCGGTCTTGTTGAGTTTGAACCGAGAAAAACGAAACAAATTGAAAAAGCCCTTAATGAAAGCTGGACAAAATTATAAAGCCATCCGGTTTCTCTAATCACTATTCATTTCCCTGGCTCTGAAATTTTTTTGTACAATTACATCCTAAAATAGGAAACATTTGCAACACCTACGGTCTGTCATCCTACTCAAATGGAAGCGATCACTGCATTTTTTGCTTTCAAAAGCATCAAAATTCATTCTGCTTTCTCAAGAAGCTGGTTTGAGGAGTTTTCAAACCTTTGTTTATTTCAAATAATAGTCATAAAATCTGCTAAGCATTTTCGATAGATGAGGTGAGGAGCGCTTCCATAAACTCTGCGTAATCGCTGATAATGGCGGACAGACTCTAACCTCACCGTAGGGTTGTCACGCTTTTACCCCACAAAACTCTTTTTGCAATGTTCGTAAAGCGCTGGATTTCATTTATCACATTGCCTACATGGTGATTTTCCCTAGTGATGCTGTTGCGATTTAGATACGAAAAACTTTTCACGAAAATTCCTTGCGAGCAGAAGATTTGATATAACCTCCTAGACCTCCTTATTTCCCTCTGTGTTTCTTGTCATATTTCATCCAATGAATGAGATTAGTTCAGATTTTGAAGTTTTTAGCGTCTCCTGTTTTATCTCGTAATCTGAGTTGGCTTTGATTGTGCAGGGTGCTCCCTTCAACATTCAGTGGATGTCAGCTGCGGGAACCAGAGTGCTCAACCCCGAAATTTTTTCCTAGTCATGCACACAAGTTCACTGTTGTGTGGCTGTCGTAACGGCTACGTTACAGTATTTTCTGTTGCTTGAAAATCGAGTTTTGTGGAGTAAAAGCGTGACAACCCTATGGTGAGGTTAGAGTCTGTCCGCCATTATCAGCGATTACTCAGAGTTTATGAAAGCGCTCCTCACCTCATCTATCGAAAATGCTCAGTAGATTTTATGACTATCATTTGAAGCAAACAATGGCTTGAAAACTCCTCAAATCAGCTTCTTGTTAAAGCAGAATGACTTTTGATGCTCTTGAAAGCAAAAAATGCAGTGACCGCTCCTATTTGAGTAGGATGACAGGCCTAAGTGTTGCAATGTTTCCTATATTAGGATGTAATTGTACAAAAAAAATTGAGAGCCAGGGAATGCAATAGTGATTAGAAAAACCAGGTAGTTCTATAATTTTGTCCAGCTTTCATTGAGGGCTTTTTCAAATTTTTTCGATTTTCTCCGTTCAAACTTAACAAGACTGGAAGCCGTTTTGAGGGGTCATGGCAGGTTGACATGCGCACAATACAGCAAAGTTTCTGACAGACCTATTGAGAAGAACGCAGATTACGACGATTTCTAGAGTGGCTTTATAATTATGTCCAGCACTGTATGACGATAAGCCAGAACATCAGTGCTGGTATCTTGCACAATGGGCCTATCAGACATCGTTGACTGACATCATATCAATAACATCACTATCACCTCAATAACGCCCCTCTTCCCCCCTCTTCCTGATCCCTCTACGACCCTCAGGTGTGGCGTGTAAGAATTACAATATTTTTTGGAGGTCTTTGTTTCTAAACAGCTCACAGTGTTACAATAAATCATTTATTGAGCTATTTATAAACTACATCGGATGTGAAAAAATAGGCATTTGCTGTCAATCCGGCATGACCGGATTGTTCAGCAACAGCTCCACTTCGAAAGTGGATGAAAATGCCTTACAGCGAAAAGTGCAATAAATCCTTAAAACATGAGAAAAAATGAGGACTGCTAAGTATGCTTTCCAGTAAATTCCTGATGAGCTCTAGTAAGATTGTACCTTTAAACGTAAGGCTAACCACACAAATCACTCGTCTCAAACTAGCTGTGTTTCTACTTATAAATGCAATAATGTTGAGCTGGATAATGAGATCATGTTGGCTGTGTTTAAGAAACACACAAGTTTGTGCCAAAAAATCTGTTTACTGCATTTGAAACGGGTACGGCAATGAAACGGTAGACCAAAGCAGAACAAAGGGCAAGCACTGGAGAAGCACCGACGGCAGTTAATGCTAATTCCAGCAGAACACACTTGATGGAGATTGCCTGTAAGGTTCACCTTAATGAAATTTTGATTGGCCACAATCGTTATCCATACTAGCAAGGAAGAACATACTCAGTTCAAGAGCACAACGACCAACTTACTTTAAGGTTCTTTATCCAATCGAGTTGCAATGCCGTTGTAGATTGCTCGGGAGATCAGAGGGCGCAGCCGCCCAAAGATGGGTATCGAAAATTTCTACTATATCGTAACAGATTAACCTAATGTATCTAAGCCGTACTTTAAGGAATCGTTTTGAACTGGGGAAAGCATACTTACCTCTGTTGCGAATGAGTGCCAACTCTATCTCAGGCCTAATCCAGCTGACTGCCCCAAGAACTGCTATATTTCCAGGGAAATTTTCTTACCCGATAGGGACTCAAAACGAAAATCTAGTCTGCTATACCTCCTTTTCACTCCACTTGGCTCGAAAACTCGCACCCCATCCTCAATTTTCAAGAACACAAGAATTACGGAGAACCAACCTGACTGCTGATTTTGATTCCATAGCGGCACCAGTTCACGAAATGCTCACAATTGTTCAAGAACAGATTATAGTTTCGCGCTCCTAACTAAAATTTGACTGTTAAGTTAACGACATTACCTAAGCTTACAAACCTGCAGCAGAGCTCGATCAACAACGATCGTAGGAGGAAAAGGACGATGATTGGCATCACGTCCGTTATTGATACGCACAAGGCTCCGACCAGCAACATCAAAGAGGGGATCGCATCGCACCTGAACGAAAAACATCTAAAGTTTCTAACATTTTCACAAAGCTGCACAATTGAGGTGTCTGAGAAAGTGCGTTTCGCTATACACTTGTTTTCTTGGTGTTGCAGAGAAACGATAGCGCATTGTATGGCTCTTCTCACCTAATGCGCATTCTATTCTCCACTAAGTTGAAAAAAAAGTTTTTACGAGCAGGTAAGATCAACGTTGCGCTAACAAGGGAAGGATACTTGATGACCGTGGCCTTTTGCAATGAGATGTTACCAGTGGATGCACCTTGAAACACTGATTCCAAATCTATGTTCATTATATGCTGTGCTACTCTCACAACGAAATTATGAACATTTTTCCACATCTTTTTTACGAGATTTACAGTCAAAATCGTCACTGTCCAACTTTTTAGACTCCAATATATCGGAGACAGTTTTCCTGAGCTTAACGTAAAACTTTATTTGGATGCTGTCTTGCAGTGAGTAAGCGAACCTTCTCACGATATTGGTGAATCCTGCATCAAAAACAGTGCAAATTTTGGTGGCAAGATTTGTTCATAACTTCTTTGCGGAAGTGTGCCTAGCAGATACCGAAAGTAGATTTGGAGTCAGCGCTTCAAAATACATTTAATTGTGTACGTTTCATTTCGAAAGGCCACGGTCACCAAGTATCCTTCGCTTGTAAGAGTTATCTGAACTAAAATCTTGATCTAATGAGGGGCAACAAATGCGAAGTGTTGTGCTGAGAATTATGGCTCGTAGTAAAGTTCGATCTGTTTAGGCGAGCTGAAATGAAGCCATCAGTTGAGGTTTCGTCAAGTGAAATGACGACCGCCCATCTTCCCATGCTATAAGCATGCGAAGTGAGCTGAGAATTGGCCATTTGTCCACCTGCAGTATTTAATCCACTACCATCAGTTCGCGTTTACTTGAAACACGAACTGCTGTAAATATGTGGACAAGACGAGACAGGAAACAGAGCAAAAGGAAACATTCCCGTAAGTTGCTTTTGAGAACTTACTATACACATCAGTTTTCCTAACACTATGAACAAAATTGACGCAAAACTGCACAGTACGGGACCCGAAGAGGAAAGGATTGATGCAGCTGATTTTGGCTTGGGAAACAAGAAAACAGATCCCTTTTTTTTCTAAGCTTTGCTGACACTTTTTTTTTGAAAAATCGTTCAAAACAAGAACTTATCAAGTTATTTCATTGAATTCATGTTGCAACCATTTCATTCTTCTATAAAATTTTCGTCAAAAAAGGAGTTTCTGTTTTATCCATGCATTTGTTAGGCAAAGTCCTTGATAGCGATCATATCGATTTTCCGATAGTGGTCACTATCAAAGATGCCTGGCGATACAGCAAAAATGTGGCGCTATGCGGTATTGAACCATGGCCGGGCGCTTTTGATTCCAGTCGCTTACCTGTCGGACAAAACCGGTTAAAGTATTTCTCTTTTTAGGAACCACACATGATTATCATGCCTAGGAAGCGATCCGCATTCAGATCAATAGCTCATTGGATGCTGGACTGAGGCGTCCTACTTTCAACGTAGGCCATTTTCAGCTGAACTGCACTGAACAGGGTTTACAACGGTCCTGTGACTTCAAACATGCAGTCTTATCTGTCTTATAAAACTAAGGACTCATGAGAGTTTGGAAGATAGAGTATTGTCAGACTGTATGAGTTGTAAATAAGGATCTTCTGAAACAAGCAGAAAAAGACGTATTATAGGAAATTGCAGAGACGAAATTTTTTCGGTATAAACGGAACCGTAATCTGAACGATAACCTTCTTTGCAATCATATGAGTGCATCAAAACTCTAATCATAAAAAGTAAACCAAAGATGAACCAAATTGGGGAATTCCTAAGAATGTTTCTGTTTTGAGCCGTGGCGAATCTAATAATGTTCAACAAACCGCTCAAAATACACTAATTGTGAGACCTTTGAATTGCATCCCGTCATGATATGATTGTAGAAGTCGCCTCAAACATTGTTTTCAGTGTTTAAGAATCTGCTTGTCATGCTAGTAACAGATAGCTGATTGTGAGTATTGTGTCTTGAAAGATTTACAAAATTTAGAAAGAATTCCTCTACGTTCGTTTGAACCAATCTTGCAAACATTTTCGAATTTGTTTAGAGTGAACATAGTGGGCATACAAGGTGTCCCAAAAATGTACCTACTGTTTGATCGTAAATAATTCTCTAGCAATGAAGTGTTTCGAGGAGCTTTAAGTACCATTTTGTAGAGCGAGGTTAAACTTAGATTTACAGTATGGAGCGAATCAACGATCTCTCTTCATGACTGCAGGATTACGGTAAGAATTTCCAGCATATAAAACCAAAACAATATATCACTGGCAAATTATTTTTTTTTCAAAAAGACCTAAAAATCGTGTGATAGGGTTTGCGCGCATGCTGATTCCATCTAACAACTTTCTACGAGTGTTTTCAGCTTTTATGACGGTGTAAATTACATTTCTGACAAATGCTGAGAACTGAGTTATCGCGATTTACCGAGGTTAACTTAGGAAAGAAGCATCACAGTAAAATGGGATTTTCAAATTCGAAATCAGCGGCTCCCCTTGCCCCTTGCCGTGGTATAAGAGTTTTTGGCTTGTTTGGTTTTGTTCAGAGGCAGAATATGGCCTCCAATGGCCTAAAATCTTTGTCGAAGTTCGTACCGTAATCCTACAGTAATGAAGAGCGATCGATGATTCGCTCCAAACTGCAAATCTAAGTTTAAAGGCATCGTACAGGCTGAACCTAACCCCTCCGATTAGTGTCGATCCTGAATGTAGGCCCCAGAAAAAGGGCATATGCGTTGGTCCGGTCTTCTAACGTTTTCTCTGAATGAGAATAGGGGGCCTGGAAGTTCCTGGCTGGGCGGAGTCTAATATCAGACTCCGCCCAGCCAGGGTCTGCTTCTCGACACGTACTGACATGGCAGTGAGCAGAAACTGCATACTGCTGCAACTGCACTCATGTAGTTGCAGCTCCTCCCGCTGGCATGCCGACGAGGACGAGCGATTCGAAACTCGTCCGCGCCCCGAGAGAGGATACCCAGGAATCGGGTCTTTTTGTAAATTTTGGAGAGTTTGAAGTTTGGAACTATAATCAGAGCCACGGAAAGGCCCCAGAATGACGAAAACATGGGGGGCCAAATTCTGGGTGGACGCTGCCTTTAATCTCACTCTACAAAGTGGTACCTAAAGCTTCTCGAAACACTTCATTACAAGAGAGTTATTTACAATCAAAGAGTAGGTACATTTTTTGGGACACCCTGTACTTGTAGGGGACATAATTGTATGTTAATTGTATGTTCCTCAATGAAGTTCAACAAATCAAAATTTCTACAAACTGACAGCGTTTAGGAAATTATCGAGGCAGGACGCGATTTGCAAATGCACACAAAGCAAGCACGTTCATAGCATATATAAATAGATATGCAAACATTTCGTTATATGAATTTGCCAGCCCTCTATCTGCCGCTCATTGTGTTCTTCTGTAATTTTTTTCAGAATGTGTCGGCAGTTTACATATTTCAGCGTCTTAGAAAGGAAGCATGAAAATCGAAAATTTTGAAAAACTTTCGAAAATCCTCCTTTCCATGAGCAACTTATGCAAGGTGAAACGGAAAGCTGGGAGATGATTTTCCAAATTTTTTGAAAGGATTTCCTCGGTGAAATGCGAATGAAATGTAAAGGTGTAGCAAAAATTATTCGCCAATCTAATAATGCTGCGCTATGACATCTCTCCAAAAATCTTTGTTCATAACGAATTTGACTAATTTGCCCCCAAATAACTAGCAAAAGTCGTTTGTGATATAGTTGCTTAATCAAATGCTGTGAGGTTGATGTCAAATAACAGATACGAAATTGCAAAGCACAGACCTCAGCTTTACCGCTCTTGAGTATATTCGAAGATCCGCTCAGTGAAAATAATCCGCCGCCCCCGATACCGCTCGATGCGGCGAAATCCTCACCATTTCCTGACAGATGTATAACAAGGGGCTCGTTATCGAACTGTCCTATATATACTGCCCAATGCTTGAAACAAATTTTTTTTAACTTACTGCGTAAAATTCGCCAAATCTTACCTCGTAGATGTTTCGCGGTGCCCCACCTATGGGTGCTACCCTCCTGAATTCTAGCAGGTCTCCACGCTGTAGAAGTTTTACCACTTTCTCGGGTAGCATCCATTCGCTGACCAGTTGTCCTGCGGCCGTCATCTCTAAAGAAATTTGTCTCTGCTTTGAATTCGAAAAATTTTATGCGGACGCAAAATATGGTTACCGAAAAGGCACGAAAACTATTTCTGGTCAAATTGCATGCTGCGCTTGGCCATATCATTTCAGAATGTTGGCGTGTCTATGATAGCAAAACGTTGCTCTTTGAAAATAAGCCATTCAAAGTGTAGAGTCACACAACGTGTCATATTCACATTCTGTGTTCGCTAGTGCTTCTTACATAACACGTACGAGTGATTTACTGTTTTTTGGGTATTCTGAGAGCATATATGTAGTCTATAACTCATGCATACAGTGAATCGTGAAAGCACCATTAAGGAATTCTAAGAAGCAGCGATGGGTCCTTTGAGAATTCGTAATTGCCCACTACTTCATTTCAGGTAAAGTAAAGGTCTCTTGAAAGCAGTGTCCAACCAACATATGTGGAGGCTGGTCGGGAGGCCTTGAGTGAGTTTTCTAAAGAAGGCAGCTCCTATGATCTATTCATGGCCTAAAAACTTTGGATTCTCGCCCAATAACGTACTTTCCGAAGGAGCAATAGTATCCGGACTGCATGGATAAAAGAGAACCTACAGTTGAATAGCTCGACCATGGATGTTTTCCAAGCCTAGATTGCGCAATGCCTTCGTGAAGGTAGGAGAAGGAACTCCGCCAGTTTGAGCCCGCTTCGCTGGCATGGTCCTTTTGCTATATTGTTGCATGTCGTTGACCAGTAGTGGTAGTCCGCGGAGGCGATTTAAACTGGCGGAGTTCGTTCCCCAACCCTCTTCGTGGAGGTCTCTTTCAATAGCCACATAAGCAGTTCAGGACCCGACTTGCCTGGAAGTCCCTGACTAGCGCAAAATCTACAAGATATCCAACATTTTGTGGAGGTTTGCTGTTACCATGAAGAATAAGTATACAACATGATTTCGATCAAACTTGTGCTAATGGCATCGAAATCATAATATTAGGTTGATCCATAATTGATGCACGTTTTTGTCATCTCTTTTTCCAAGCGCTGGTTTTTCAACGGAACTGAATCTTTCCCAAAAATTTCAACGCTATCTGAAAGAGCGTTTCTTCTAGTTTCTTGTGTATCCTTTCTTTTTTGTGACACCCTGTATGATACCGAATTCCACCCTTCGGAAAATGAGAGACTAAAACTTGAAATTTTTTCCCTCCATTCTTTTTGCTCTAATTCCATGAGAACAAAAGATATTAATTTCATAAAACATGCCTAAAAATCGCGAAGCTTTCTGCTATAGAAATCTCTATAAAGCAGAATTTTGCAAATGTTATGAGATGAGAGATTCAACCACAAACTTGGCCGCTCATTGTGGCTTTTCGAAGTCGTATAAAACTTTAAAATAAGAAGCAATGACTGCAATATTGTTTTGTACACAAAGAATAGACATAGCACATTGAGTGGTAGAAAAATGGTGAAATTTTACAGCTTTTGAATGGCAAAAATTTTAAAAATTCTTAAAAAAGACAATTTTTTGCTCTTCTGAAAAAGCTAGAAAAAATGATCACTTTTGAACATTCTGCAATATCTCGTCGTAGAAAAATACCGTAGAATCCGGGTTTTTTGCCACTGCTCTCTTGACCATTGGCTACGCAATGAGCAAAGTTTGCGCTTTCCTCCTACCTTTGAGAGCAAGTTATGCTTTCTCAAAAAAGAGGGTTTCAAAAAAAATTCTTGGCATTTTTCGGATTGTACAAACTTTCTCGTCATATTTATCTATGAACAAAAGTATGTGTTGTAAAGCCAAAGATTTGCTCTTTGCAACAGTTTTTGTTGCTCTTTGAAAGATGGTGTGGGAAAAGAATTACGGCGCTTTGAAGATGAATTTCGAAAAACGTGCATTAATTATGAATCAACCTAATATGTACTAGATGTAGAATTTAAGACGAAGCAATCAAAGTTGCTCAAATCGGCAAAGTTAGAAATCGCGACAAAATGTGGGATTCGAAAACGCGTAAACTCATTGTGTCAATAATGCAAAGACTGAGTAGGACTACCTTATGAATAATGTCTCTACGGATGAGCAAAAAGATCAAGAAATATTCTCCTAACCAAATTTGCATTATATTATGTTATTCAGTAAGCATCTTCTTCCTTAATTAGCTCTTCCAGTGCGGTCGATAAGATCTTGATGTGCAATGGAAAAACATAACTCTGAGATTGGTATATGAGACGATTCAAATTCATGAAAAGTCGTATACTAGTGGATGCATCACACATATAAAAAAGAATTTTGAAAGTGCTAGAAACTGATTCGAGGGAAAGAAGTACTATAATAGATAAGGAGCAGTATAACATGGGCTTTAGGAATGTCTGAAGATAAAATACGAAATTGTAAAAGTTTTGAAGTAATCCTTTTGAAACGTATATGTTTACGATTACCCAGCACTGACGTTGTGTGGGTTCGTAAGTAGTCCAACGAATGATGAAAGGGTTGGTACAAAACTACAAAACCAGAACCTTGTATCTTTCCTTGAATGTGATGGAAACACGATATGCAAACCACATCAGTTCAAAACTAACGTATGCGTTCCAAGGCAGGTCGAACATTGATACTATGAAATCACTGGATAACTAGCGAAAGATTTCGAAAGCTGCGATTTTTTTTTCTTTTGGAAAAAAGAGTGGTGTGGCCCGGAAACAGCGTTCGTTACTATGGTAACCGATTTGGGGCAAAAAATAATTGCTAAGTACTTTCGAGCGAGAATATTGATTATGATGTGACATATACGTACATTTTCATTTCTGAGGTAATTGAAGGTAATCGTAAATGAGGTTTCGATATTCAAGCATTTTTTGCCCTTTTTTACGAGTCGCATTTCACTAGGTTATGTGCTGAGAGAAATCACCGTGGCTAAAAGTTAGCAGTCGGACCTCAAACTAGACGGGCATAAAGGTTGAACGAGATTTTGCATGCAAAAATTGCACTAATCTTTTTCATTGTCCCTTCCTACCACCCCTTCCCTTTCGTTATCACACAAACTCCTCACTCAGAGAAGATAATTAGTTAGAGCAGTCAATGCATTGTATCTATATATACGTAATAGGATGTTGAAGCATCAAATCTCCAAATGTTTCATCATTTGACAACAGTTAGTGTATCCTGCGATGTACAACCACTGGCTCACCATTATATTATACAAGATTCAAGAAGATTAGCCAATTACGCTAGTTCAAACATCAAAGCCGTCTAGCTGTAAGTAACGAGAACGACTGGTGATTTATGGTAAACCTTCTTTCAGCTCACGCAAGTCTGATCGAACAAAATCTTCACTGGGGCATCTTTTATCAAGTTTATGACTGCGTATGCTTTGAGTGACAGACGCGGGGAAAAATGTTCGAGAGTATGACGGAGTATGAATAAGTGAGCATCATCACTTCCCACTGTCTCACTGAAAATATCAAAAATCAAAACTTTTTTTCAATGAGATTCTGGAATGAACTAGACCACCTAGAATGAGTCATCAATCATGGTGCACTTACTCGAGTGTCATTCGTTTGTTTGCACAAATACTGTTTGGCATTTTATGCTGCAACGGGGGCCTGTCTTTAGAACTACATGTGGAAGCGAATAACGAATAACTGATGACATTTTGCAAGGCATTCGTACGTATCCTGGATAAGTCCGTACCATTCAAGAAGTAGATTCTATGTTGTTCGTATCGGAGCTGATTTCGACGATCATCCTTGCCGTACTTGCATTTAAACAATTTGCAGCTTAAATGCCATATTTTGAGACTTTGAAAAATGTTTCGCTCCAATAGGTACAGCGTTCTGTACAGGTAATGAGATTTGGAAGCGGCAAGTTAGTTAAAGTTCAAGAGAGGTCAAGAAAACCTTAGAAGTGACTTTGGAGACCAATTTAATTAAGGCTTACCATCTGTCACTGAGAGGGGTAGACAACCACTTTGAAAAATTGTTCTTGCCACAAATACTTTTCTTAAGATTAAAAGGAGTTAGACAGCGAGAATCTGATAATTTTAATCTGATGTACAATCAGAGGTTTAATTAGCAAATTCTCGCTTTACTCCTTTTAATCTTATAAAAAGTTTTTGTGGCAAGAACAATTTATCAAAGCGGTTGTGTACTCTTACCCTTCTCAGTGACAGATGTCAAGCCTTACAACCGCTTTCCCGAATTACAATTTGTGAGACAGCTAACAGATGAGTGGATATGGAAGTTGTGAACTAGGCCATTAAATCTGGAGACGCTCACCATGACATTACCTATGTTTTTTGGTCAGTAAATATAAAAGTTATTGGTCACACGAATCGTTACCTAGACATTTGTGCGCGTTTATGCTCTTTGTCTGGCAAAAATAGTAATGTGGATCGTCACAGGTTGGCTAAAAAATAATTTCGATCGTCTTCGATAGTTCGCAGAGTTACAGATAGGCTTTTATGTTAGTGTCTGGTACCAAAGGCTCAGGAGAATCAAGTAGCCAGACAGTTTGTGCAGAGATTGATTTTCACTGACGAGTTGTGCGAGAAGTTAGCATATTTATGTCTTCTCAAGTTTTCAAGAAGAGATGAAATTGATTGTAAAATGTGGGATTACACACCGTTCAACTATGATGGCTTTAAGTTTGGATATTTGTAAAATATGATCGATGGTGAGTTTTAAAGAAACTTTCAAGCAGGATAATTTACAGTGCCTCACTTAACATCTTCTACTTAGCAATCCGAGAAGATGAGAGAAAATCTCAGCGCACATTCAGAGGAAGTGTGAAGCAGCGAGATTTTGAAAGATTATGCACGGAAAAGTGCAGTCGTCACCTGCAACTGCACTCGGCAATGCGATTGATTAGTTCTAGGCAATAAAAACATAGAGTGCAAAATCGGCACTTAACTTTCCTCAAAGTGTGCAGATCCGAAATCTTCCACTTCGTTGCAAGTGATTTATGCTGAATCCAATTCCTTCCATTAACTACTGGGTCAATATGTATAGCTGTCGCTAAACCCACAAAATGCTGTGATTAGA